GAATGGATGGATGTTTGTCAGAGTTTGTAGCCTAAACGGCTGAAGGGATCTCTATGAAATTTGGTACAGATGTAGAGGATAGTCTAGAAGAACATATAGGCTATTAATTTTATTTTAATTCCACGCTAACGGAGTCGCGGGCCAAAGCTAGTATTGAAATAAATCAAAAACTACTTGGCTGATTTAAAAAAAATCTTTCACCATTAAAAAGCTGTGTTATCAGTGAGTAACATAGGTAATATAGTTATATTTTTTAATTTCACGTGGACAAAGTCGCATGCAATAGCCTGTAGATTCCAAGACAAGTGCTTAAACTATTAATCCACCGACGCTTATTGTGGTTAAGTTATTTAAGTTTTAGAAGAAACTTCTGATCCCTTAAATAAAAACGTAAAAGGGGTAAAGACTGATTATATTATGAACTTCTTATTCCCTAGTCCTAGAGATTCATCAATAAATTACATCCCTGTAGAATCCGTCTTATACTTTAATGATCGCCTTAGATGTGACTTAACGGTTACTTGAAGTGGCCGTAACTTAGAATAGCACTTAAAGCTAACATAGCGATAAAGCTTAAATATTACTAATGACATGCATTTGTCTTTCCGTGAAAATCTTGCTAATACTATAAACTGGTTTTCGCCTGCGACTCCGTCCGCGTGAAATTAAAAAAAGTGAATAGCTTATATGTTCTTCCAGGGTATCCTCTACATCTATGCCAAATTTCATCGAGATCCGTCTAGTAGTGTAGACTACAAACTTTAACAAACATACATCCAGCCATCTAAACTTTCGCATTTATAATAATACTAGCTATCGCCCGCAAATCCATCCGCGTGGAATAAAAAAAAAGAAAAGCGAGTAGCCTATGTGTTCTTCCAAACTACCCTCTACATCTATACCAAATTTCATCGAAATCGGTGTAGCGGTTTAGGCTACAAACTCTAACAAACATTCATCTAAACTTTAACATTTATAATATTAGTATGATATAAGTATTACGATGTGAAAATTTGGATGGATGGATGGATGTTACTACGTACCAAACAGCTCAACAGATCTCGATGAAATTTGTCACAGACATAAATTTGGAAGAACAGATAGTCGACTTCCTTAGTTTATTAATTCCGCTCGGATGAAGACGCGGGCAAAATTCCTTTACTATAAGAAAAGATTTGATTGTTTGCATTAAATACTCTAAAAGTACTAAACCTATTTAAAATATTCTTATGCCATTAGAAAGCTACATTATCACTGAGTAAAATAAGCTATATCTTAATCATCACAAGCTCACTATACGTCCCCACCAAGGGGCTCGGAGCCTACCCTAAGTAAGGGTGACAAGGCCATAGTCAACCACGCTGGCCAAGTGCGGGTTGGTTGACTTCACACATATCTTTGAATTTCTTCGCCGATATGTGGAGGCATCACGATGTTTTCCTTCACCGTAAGAACGTCGGGTAAATTATGTACATATGAAAATTCGAAAAATCGAAAATCACATTGGTACGCGGGATTCCAACCCAAGACCTGTAGATTACAAGTCAAGTGTCCAAACCACTGAGCCACCGACGCTCTATATCTTAATATAAAGATTAAAAAACATTAATAAACAGCGTCATTCTGACCCCCTATGTTATAATTTCCGTAAATTTTACATATTTTGCCACCCGAGCGAAGTTAGAGCGGGTAGCTAGTAAAATTACATTTGTAAATTTAGAAAATATTATTATTTTCTTACCTTATCTAAACCGTAATTAAAATTAGTTAAATTAGTAAAAAAGCAATAAGACTTTTGTCTTTTTTATTATTATAAGTATTTCTAATTATGATAATAAGAATACTTACTCTGTTTAAACCAGAAGCCACTCCATCCTCTTCAGGAATAGAAAATTAAATTGATTTAAAATTAATTCTAATTTAATAAAATACGTCTTAACTCCTCGACGCCTGAAGACCGACTGAGCTTCACCACGGACAATTCCAAATTCAAAAATCCGTCTTCGAATGCGTCCAGAAACAGTTGAACCCTGATATATACGTTCGGTTCCTCTTTGGTAAAACGGCTACGTCACGGTGAGAGAGGCGAGGAAGGCCAACTTATATTGGATGTTTAATACAAGTCATTTCTATGATATACAAATATCCACCTTATTCTAACGGTTTAGAATACATTTTAGATTGTAGATTTAACGAATCCTGTAGAGTTTCAGTCTTTAAGGGAAATTAAACTCTATTTCAGTAGTACTAGGGCTTAAATAGTTCTGCAATTTATAATAAAAGCTACAGGTTTTCGATAAGTTCTCGCTGAAAGTGCGATATGCGCTCTTAGCGGAAAATATCGTAACTACATTTTCTCTAAAAAGAAAATAAATAAAAAGAGTACTTAAAGATACTTAATGGGTTTTACCAAAAAATTATTTCCTTTCTCCATTTGGCTGAGTATTTTTAAAAAAAAACTTATTTCTCTAATTAAAGTCAACAAAACGTCACATTTCGTTACACGAAAGAGACGAAAGATAGAACTATACGATATGCTAGAACAAAACAGTTGTATACTCTCAATCTCAAATTTATATTTTGAATTATCATTTAATTTTAAAAATTGTAATCAAGTGATATCATCTACGTCTTTCTTCCCGCTGACCGTAAGAAGAGGTCCTTAATTTCTCTACCCATCTCTTTCCAACCTATACCATTCTATATCTGCCTCTCTTTCCACACTTATGACTTCCACAGAGTGGGATGCTACGAGTTCGTGCCTCGCATTTCGCAATAACGGTTAGAACTAATTTATTTCATTTTAATACATTTCACGTATCAAATAAGTATCATAAAAAAGATAAGTAACTAGTAACTTGTTGCCCGACATACAAGCTTTTACACTCGGCTTTACTTGATTTTTTTAATATAAAATATAAACCCATCTAGCTTCGCATGGTTCAATACTAAATATTCTAAAGAATCTCTACTATAGCTTTCGTCCGCGACTCTTTCCGCGTGGAATTAAAAAACAAAAGTGTTTAGCCTATGCTCTCTCCCAGACTATTCTCTACATCTATGCCAAATTTAATCAAGATCCGTTCAGTCGTTCAGGCTACAAACTAACAAACATCCATCTAAACTTTCGCATTTATAATATTAGTATGATGAAAACCTTCTTGAATCACTATTAAAACTGCATCAAAATCCGTTGCGTATTTATAGCTCTAAGCATACATACAGACAGACAACAGAAGCCACTTTCTCGTACTAATTTCGAGCAATGGGCGACCATTGTAATAAAAAAGATCGATCTCTCAAGCATTACCTTAGTGCGGTTGTCATGGTAACATGATTAGTTAAATATAACTAAGTCACGTGCACAAACTTTGTTCTGGATACACTAGTTATTGCCCGTGACTCCTGACAGAACTGGATATTGACTGTCGAAGGATTTTACTTTTAATTTGAATATATCAGATGCTAATGTTTTATAACGATTTTTCTAGGTTGAGATTGGATAAAATTAAATTCAATCTATCATCATCCACTTGCCCTTATCCCTTACGGAGGGTCGGCACAGTATGTGCTCCATACATCTCTGTCAGCCTGTCTATCATTGAATGTGGATGGCTACAAAGGAAGAGGAAGACCGAAGAAAGTATGGATGGATTGTGTGAAAGAAGATATTCTTAAGAAAGGAGTGGAATCAGATATGACGGCTGATAGAGATGTATGGAGCAGCACATACTGTGCCGACCCTCCATAAGGGATAAGGGCAAGTGGATGATGACATCTCTGTCAGCCATATCTGAATACACTCCTTTCTTAAGCATATCTTTCACACAATCCATACTTTCTTTGGTTATTAAATTCAATCTATACTGTCAATTATAATTATATAACTATGATTGCATAGCATCGCTAATCCCGTAATGCTGTCTCTTTCGTGCTCATAGTTGACCGATGAACTATCTCTTTCTACCACTTAAACCGACCCTTCGGGACTGGAAAATGGACAGAGAGTTGCATGGAGTCGTATTTGTTGATATTTTATTAAATGTAATATTTTGTAAAATATAAAAAAAAACATTAGAATATCTTATGCATCATATTAAATAGTTTAGGACGTTAAAGAAACACAACACGATTGTTTTAACGGAAATAAAGACAGCAAATCTTACTAATGTCAGATGCATACATGTTTGTTAGAGTTTCCAGCCTAAACTGCTGAACGAATTTCGATGCTATTAGGCATAGATGCAGAGGATAATCCGGAAGGACATATAAACCACTTACTTTTTTTTTAATTCCACGCGGATGGCTTCGCGGGCGAAAACTATTATAACAAAAGATGAAACATGGAGTTGATATACTTTTAAACAAAATGCATGTGTAATTTTATTATAAATATTTTAAGTTTTCACTACTCCACAGTTTTTATTGTTCCAGCATTAGCGCGTGAGAGGGTACATCGGTCGGCACTCCACACTAATCACCCCGCAGCGTGACAGGTGCCGTGATAGATGTACTAGCTATGATCTAGACTTTTCACGACATAGATTATAGTGTAACTAGTAAAGAATGACCAGGAGTATATAAATTTCTGCTTCCCTAAGTAGAGTTAAAGCATCACTTAAATTGCTATAGTAAGAGACATTCGTAGCATTTTAAATCTACAATATAGGCTACGGAGTGACATCTACGCCTTAGCGGCTACGAGGTTACGAAATCTGGATGTTTGCTACGAGTATTTTAACCTACGTATTCTAGCAAAATTAAAACGTCGAGATTAGAGGATCCTGAGTCGTAGGTTTTGCAAACAAAATATTGTGTTATCTAAACTAATATTATAAAGGGGAAAGATTTGTATTTTTGTATGTATTGAAATAACTCAAAAACTACTGGGTCGATTTTAAAAATTCTTTCACCAATCAGAAAGGTAATTTATCTGTGAGTAACGTAGGCTATATTTTATTATTACTAATATTTGAGAACTATTAATAAACAGCGTATTTCTGGACGCCGGCGTTAAAAATTCACTAAACTTCAACTTTTCTCGGCTTACGCTGCCTAAACCGTTAGAGGTATATAAAAATGATGTATGAAAGAATTGTAGATCTCAAAAAGTTCTACAGAAAAGTCCCCGATAGCATATATCTATCTTTAACGGTTTTCTTATTATTTATATGAAAGTAGTTTAATTATTATAATTGAAGGGAAAACGATGTTACCCTTAAGGAAATAGCTCTAACATATAAATGTAAAATTTAATGCAGTTTCTACATCATACTAATATTATAAATGCGAAAGTTTAGATGGATAGATGTTTGTTAGACTTTGTAGCCTAAACGGCTGAACGGATTTCGATGAAATTTGGTACAGATGTAGAGGATAGTCTGGAAGAACACATAGGCTACTCACTTTTTTTTAAATTCCACCCGGACGGAGTTGCGTGCAACAGCTAGAAACCTATACGCGTGCTCGTTTTACTAAACTATCATACAGCGGTCGTGCGATTGTCAATGGTTTCGCAGCCTCAATTGTTAGTTGCACTGAAAATCGACTAGTCTGCGCACTTCATTCAGCTCATAGGAATCAAAGCGAGACTAAACGGTTGTGCGATGGTTTAGTCAAACGCTCTTGTCGAATTTCGACTAATGAACAAATAATAATACTATTGTAATAAAGCGTAAACACACACTTATTTGCCGAAGATGTCAGCAATTACAGCATGTTTTTGAATAATGTTTTTTTTAGTAAAAAGCCCTACACTTACGTCACGCTTCAGGCTATATATTTTAACACCAATAAACTTAGGAGGTAATTTTTTTGTACAAAAACCCTAATGTGGGAAAGAGACCAAGAGTTGCTGCCAACATCAAGGAAGCAAGGTTGTCATCATGTAATGTCATTTTGACATTTGCAATTGATAATTTGACAAATGTAAACAATAAAATAACATTTTCATCATTTCATGCGGATGAAGTCGCACGAGAACAGCTATTAGTCATATTTTAAAAACACAAATGCGTTTTAGAATGCTTTAAACCTATAAATAAATACCCCTAAACACGTAGAGGGTGCGAATTCACCCCGCTAACCTATTTAAGACGTGAATTTATTTCCATTTCTACCCCCATTAAAGAACGACGTCTTCATTGTTAGAGAAATTCGATCCCTACTTATCTTTTAACAGAAGAAGCTAAAAACAACTTAATTCCAAGTAAATAAAGTTCATTTTACAATGCAGTAATAAATAGCATTTGATTCTTAAGAAAGTTAAAATTATAAGTTAAAGGAATTTATACTTTAAGTCCACAGTATAAAGGCGATTACGGCACAAGAGTAAATATTTACACATCGAAAGAGTAGGGTAACCAACATTTTACAAAAAAAATATGTCCTCACAATACTATCGATAAAGTTACGTATAATTTTAGATTAATATTTATAATTTAATTTCTGATTCTCAAAAGATAAGATATAAAGCTATGTTTGATACCATTTACGACTTAGGGTCCATCAAGAAGTGGGCCTAGCATTTCCTCAAAGGCCGTTAACGCATCTGTAGTTCCTTTAGTGTTGTGGATGTCCATGGGGCGTCGTTGATTATCTTGGTCTTCCCGCTGTACGTTTGACCTTATAATAATAAAAAAGAACGGGTACACAAACCCAGGGTAATGTCGCAAAAAATAACCTTTTAATTCCTTCCTTCCTTTAATTACTTCTTTTCACTGACTTGTCTACTTCAACACACCATAAACTGTCGTATTTTGTGTCTATTCACGTATTTCAGAGTTAATGCGAACGGTGCTACCAGTGTTGAAAATAGTGAATTATCAGGTAGTATTTTTTATCGTAAAGCAAACCACCATGCGGTCTGAATCCGCCGAAATAGCGAAATGACCGTTGCCCATAGACATCGGCAATTGCTGATGCGTTGCCGACCCTTCATTGACGGAGGAGACGCACATAAAGAGGATACATCTCCATCCTATATGTCTCCTCCACTTTTGCTTCCCCATCGTCATTTCCGCTATCTGTCATTTTCAAAAAGTTTCGTATAAATTGGGACCATCCTGTAGATAGGCTTCTATCATGGTAACCCTACTCAGGGATGTGCCGACAATGCGATGCGCGCTAGATATTTAATAAGCGACCGTCCTGCGTGCCTGTCGACACTTGTTGAGTTCTATTATGTGTTCGATACTAGTGTTAGAGCCCGGCATCGATCGGAATATTATAATTTTTCTTACAATATGACATACACTATCGATATATCTATCTATATCTATACTATTATAATAAAGCGTAAACACACACTTCTTTGTTGCCTAAGATGTCAGCAATCACTGTATATTTTTGAATAATTCTTTTTTTAATAAAAAGCCCTACACTTACGACCCGCTATAGGCTATCTATTTTCACGTTAGTAAACTTAAGAGAAAAATGATTTGGAAAAAACGTGTTGGAAAGAGACAATAAACTACAAGCTGCCAACATTAAGGAAGCAAAGTTATGGTAACGGTAATTTTGACATTTGCAATTGAGAATTCGACAAATGTAAACAATAAAATAAAAAAATTCATAATTTCATGCGGATGAAGCCGCACGGGAACAGTTGATACATAAACTATTTATTACTAGCTTTCACCCGCGACTCCGTCTGCGTATAATACAAAAAACAAAAGCCTATGTGTTCTTCCAGACTCTACAACTATGGCAAATTTCATCTAGATCCGTCCTGAAGTTTAGGCTACAAACTCTAACAAACATCCATCCATCTAAACTTCTTTGTTGCCTAAGATGTCAGCAATCATAGCATAATTTTGAATAATTCCTTTTTTAATAAGAAGCACTACACTTACGTCACGCTCTAGGCTATATATTTTCACGACATTAAACTTAGGGTTAAATATTTAGGATAAAAACCCTAAAGTGGGAAAGAGACCATAAGTTGCTGCCAACATCAAGAAAGAAAGATTGCTAAGGTTTGTCATGTCATGTTATTTTGACATTTGCTATTGATAATTCGAACAATAAAATAAAATTTTCATAATTTCATGCGGATGAAGCCGCACGGGACCAGCTAGTTTATATTAGTTAGATAACATTAACACGCCTGTTATCACATCGATTCCTAATCAATAATTATCATACGTTATCAGAATGATAACAAACCAAAAGCGAGCTCAGTACGAGTTGACAATTAAAAAAGAAAATAATAAAAAATACAACAGTGAATGAAGTGAAAAGTGTTTCCAGTTTAGTATGGCTTCAGAGAAGAATACAAGAAAATAATAACATTGTGAATTACAAAGGTAGTGGCAGAAATGCTAATGTGAGGTAACACGAATGTATAACTTACAAAATGAGTATATTAAAGGAAGTTTGAGAGTAGCCCCAGTGGTAGAGAAGGTAGTAAAAGGTTAGGTTTTGCCCATGATATGAAACACTAGCTGTTCCCATGCTTTTCATCCGCAAAAATTATAAAAAAAAAATATTGTTCACATTTGTTAAATTATCAATAGCAAATGTCAACATGACATGACATGACAAAACTTGGCAATCTTGCTTCCTTGATGTTGGCAGCAACTTATGGTCTCTTTCCCACATTAGGGTTTTTATCCTAAATATTTACTCATAAGTTTAACGGCGTGAAAATATATAGCCTAAAGCGTAACGTAAGAGTAGGGGTTTTTATTAAAAAATTGTTATTCGGAAATATACTGCAATTGCTGACATCTTAGGCAAC